AGCCGCACGATCAATGATGTCAGTAAGTACCCATCACATCCCAATATGGACTATTTGTCGATGTTGTGGGTCGGACGTCCCGGCTGACTCGTGCGTCCCGGAATTTCCATTAGCTGGATGTCCTCGCCAACTTCAAGCGTCATCATATCTGAACCGTGTCCTCGTCACATGCAGAAATTTAGACTCGCGACCAGTCCTGTACGCAATGCACACGCCTTCCTTTTTTGGTTTCGGAGTGATGGAAGGCGTGAGCTTGCGAACGGACTGGTGACAACGGTCAGTCACATAGCAGGGTCACAACTTTCCCCGCCAAGCGTGACTCCGACTTAGAAAAATTTGCCCCCTCATACGTACAAAATCGTCTCTGGCACACATTGTTCAATGATGTTTTTGAAGCGAATGGAGTTGATTGGAATAGGTGAGAAAAGAGGATTTTCTCCTTGAGTCAGTCCAAATTCATCGAAATTTGACCTATGTCAAATGAATCTATGGCCTTCAAAACCTACAATGGTGTAAATCTCCCAAGGCATGATTTTTCTGAGTTATGAGGCTCTCAAATCACGAAGTCCCACTCATAGTTGGCGCGTGTCACGCGCATCCCGCCAAAAGGGCGACCGTGTTTCCCAGCCGCTTCGCAGTGTAGCGAGTATTACGAGCGGAGCTTGAATTGCGGAGTGGCTGGTATCGAGCCTAGCAGAAATTCGCTGGATCTCAATAATGATATGGTATGAGTTGGGAAAAGTACTATGTACAATGCCAAAGGTCGTCTACATGTACTAGGACCGATGAGAATATGCTAGTAGTCCGGTAATACGCGTGGTGTATAGACTGTGTAAGGATACTTTTATGCCGTCTAAGGTTGGCGGACGATGGAGTCAGTGGGATGCATGAGGAGAGGCGGGGGAGCACTTACCGCCTCCTTGAGGTAGGTGATGAGGTCATTGCGATCCTTCTCCTTTTTCAGACCAGCGAACGCCATCTTCGTGCCAGGGATGTACTGTGTAAGGCGACAAGTCAACAACACGTGTCTGACAGACGACGGGCAAGTGTAACGCACCTTCTTGGGGTTCTCGAGGTACTCGAAGAGCGTGTTCTCATCCCATGTAATACCCTTGTTCACGTTGGCGGCCGTGTACGAGAAGCCCTCGGCCTGACCAGTCTTACGACCGAACACGCTGCGAAGTAACCCAGTCAGCCATCGCGCCCAACCAGATTTCGAAAGTATCGTACCCGTGAAGGTTGGGGCCGACCTTATGGGGTCCACCAGCCTCGACGGTATGGCACTGAGCGCATCGGGTCTTGAACAAAGAGGCACCCTTGCCAGCGTCACCTTGACACGTCAAACATTGTCAGCACGCCAACCCCTCCAGCATCCAGCAAATACCGGACTCACCCTGAGAGTAAGGCATATCTAATAAGTCTAGTAGTGGGTCGTTAAGGCAAGATTATAGACAAGTAGTCGTAGGACTAGTCGGGAGAGTGTAGTAAACCGTGAAGGTGAAGGTTACGACGCAAGAAAGGTTGCAGTTTTAAAGTGATTTTTCGTCTATCCGTCCGGGGTGGATGACGTAAACAGGCAGCCGGTTCGTTCCGTGCGGTCAGCCCCCAATCGGAACCGCGGGATTGCCCCTCATGCCGTGGGACATCCTTGACCCACGATCATTACCGCTCTTGTTCGAGCCTTCAGGAACATACCTCCGCCATCCGTCCGGCCAATCGTAGCGCTCGGAATATTATCTGAAGGTGGGTTTACGCACCTCCATGCTTGCATTTGAGGCTGAAGGGACAGCCCGGAGAGAAATGATCAAACTAGCTGGTATTTGACTAATTGATGAGACAAGTAGAAAATTTGAATGCAACAAAAACTGAGCGTTGCCAACATTTGTCTCAGCTAGTATCTGTTGTGGCTCAGCGTCCCCCCTCTCAAGTATATAGTTAGTTCTCGACAGTAGATGAGCGTCTGTTGGGCAATAACTTTGAACAACAATGCAGGGATCCATAAGACTCAGCGAGGTGAGGCCCGTGAAGATCACCGGGAGGACGAAGCAGCTCTGGAGTATGCAAATATCCCATAGAAACGGAAGTCCCGAAATAATACAGCTGACAGTCCATTCACGACATTGGTTGGAGTCACGGATGCGACCTTCTGAGGTTTGGCCAGATGTCGCTCGCAATAATCGGATTGCAGACGGAAGAAGGAACTAAATGGCAAGACAAACCCCACGAACAACCCATCACCGTCGACAATCCAAAATCGCGGCAGTTACGGTATTGCAGAACCAGATCTTGGACGCCTCGAGGGCGATATATTAATATTATGGATTATCTGAGCAGCGGCCAGATGACACACAAGGACATCCGGTTCCAAGAGTCCACGAATCTATACGTACTGAATCAGTTCATCGGCCAAATCGAAGATTAGCGTCGGAAAAAGGTCAGAAAGTCCGTCGCAGAGCGACACATCAAGCCGGACATATATCACACCGCTTTCCGAGAGCGATGCGCCGCCCATGAAAGGGGCGACACTCTCCAAAGAGTCATATGGCCCCGGCAAACTGTCATCACGTATGCGAGTAAGACCATAACACTCACGTTCGTATATGATTCACAACTCAAAGCACGAGGAGACGCCGCATCAGTCGTCCTCCTCTTCGTCAGTTAGTTCATCCCCTTCACGGACACCCCGGTGGCGCTCGTACCCCTCCCTCCGCGCCCAGGACCATCCGTCCGTGTAGGGCTCTACCCGAAACGGAAATAATAGCGTATATGATGGACTATCAGGAAGAGTCAGGATCAGAGGTCTTGGTGACGGACAATTACACTTACTATCCGTCCCGACCCATGTTGAAGAACAACTCCAGGTTTTTCCGCTTCCTGGAAATTTCGTCAAATTCAAGTACAGTACATCAAACCAGTTGCGAACCCGAGGTCGTACGAGTTCACGAATGTCTATGAAAATATTAAATGAAGGCATCACTGACAACCCGCTAACACTGACCTCTGCTCGTGCCTTTGCAACTTTCCTGTAGTGATCGTGATCCTGGGACTCCACAGAAGTTTCAGCCAAGGATATACTCCACAGATGCCAGCCCAGCATGACTGCTACAGCCAGGCTGAGGACTCCTGCTAGTATGTAGGTCAGAACAAAGGCTAAAGCAGGTACGCGGTACGGCCAGATCGGCTATGACGCTCGTCAGCTTCCCGAGCGAATAATGGGTAACGGCGTGCCTACTTGATAATGATATCCAATGGCTTCCAAAAATGACGGATAGCCTATAGCGACGTAGCAAAACGACGCCACAACTAGATATACCCTGATGTCCATACATAACGTGTCATTCGGTGCACGGCTGGGCGTCCTAGTAGGCGGGACACGCACATGAACAGGATGAAATGGCGCTCATTATGCAGGCCAACGCATTGGTTCACCCCTACTCAGACTTATTATGGCCAGCTTCAGAGTAATGCGTCAAAATGGAACTGACACTGATGTACATCTCAATCACTAGGGAGACCTGCTGAAGGAAGGAAAACATACTGGACAGTGGTGGTCGTATTTGAGGACGCATCGGTTACATATTCGACAATGGTGTGCTCTCTCAAAGCATCAAGAATTAACACCCCAATTAGCCTTACATCCAACTCCACAGTTCATTACCAGTAGGGTACGCACCTCTGGCCTCGGCAGCCCGCACTTCCGACACTTCGAAATCATGGCTTTCGTGATACGCACGTCGTCCGACCACCGTACTCCCGTCAATGGCCCACCCTTCGTTGTCGGTCGCCTCCTCGCCCATAACCAGTCGCTCCCTCCCTGCCTCGGGGGATCATCGATGAAACCCGGCGATACCGTGCACACCCAATAGTAGTGCATTAGCATGTTGAACACTATGAGGACGCATATGGGCGTAGTCAACCATGGCCATCGCAACGACGGCTGCTCGATGTCAACTGAGCAGAAAGTCTCAACACACAGAGCGCTCTCTCATAAATGGAAGCACTGACAAAAGCATAGAGTGCCTGTCGACAGAAGAACCACCGCAAGCGTAACGAACAGCGGCCCCGCTGCTCCTGTGATACGATCGCCCACTCGTTCCAGCGTCCGAAAGCATCGAAAGACAGCGCGCGCGCATGTCATAATGGGCGTCTGTAGTTGAGGGACGCGTCGCCGCAGCAAATAGGGTGTGGCATGAGGCGGTGGAGGGACGATGACAAGACGCGAAATGGGACAGTCTACGCCGCAGCCGGCGTCAAACGCGCTGTAATATTCATACAGAATACCAGGCAAACACTAACGAATAAAAATAGGCTTGTGGATCAAGAAGTGGGAGGAGAAAGATATGAGCAACGTGAAGGCAAGTAATCAGCGGCCATCGCGCGGTAGGAACATCGAAGTAATACATCCATTACATTAGATCGCGAAATGTCTTGATAGGTGTATATACATATGACTTGCAATCAACGTCCTCGACCTGGGGTGGTGGCTCGTCGCGGCGTCCCTGGAGGTTTCCTGGGCGTCGGCGGCAGGACGCCTGTCAGTCGTCGGTCGGGTATACCGCCTCCAGCCTCGTTGACCCTCTGCACCTCTCGGACGGCCCGTCTCGCGGCGTCACCGACTTGAGCTGGAGGGCGTTCTGCGTCTACACGCGAGAGCGCGCGGAATATATCTCGGGCGTCGCTGGAAGGGGAATGGCTGAGGCTCGGGGGTAGGAAGGAGGAGAGGGAACCAGGTTTCGCTGAGTTTAGTGAGGAGAGGGGCTCGGAGCGGGCGGAGAGAGATAGTGAGAGGAGGGCAAATCGGTGGTTTAGATCATCTTCCGCGTAGTGGGTGGTGTGCATAGACGTCTGCACGAGCGCTTGCAAACGATCAATCTGCAGATAACGTTAGAAGTGGACACTGGCTCGAAATAAATCATATGGCTCACGGTGAATTCGAGATCATGAAGGCGTGCACTCAATGGATCCTGACCGCCAACCTCTGCTAAGACCTTACGTGCCAGCTCTACACCGTTAGGTCCGCGGAAGACATCCGAAAGCTCGCTTTCGCGGGGCTCATAGTCATCCACGGCTCGTTGCTTGCCTTTCGCCTTAGCAGATTGAGCGCGGCTCCTCCTCCGTTCATCCAGAGCAGCCAGGACCCGCGACTGGTGACCATTATAAAAATGGACAACTTCATCCCATGCCTCATCTTCCGCTCTCGCACTGGTTGAGTGTGACACCATAAGCCTGGAGGCTAGTGATGGAGATTATGCTGTATAGACGTACCGTTCGATGTGCTCAGTAAAGCGTATCTCCCTCGCCCGGTTCTTGATGTTCTGCTCGTTCGGTTTCATCTTCTTCGCTGACATGTCATTCAACATTCCAGTGGGACCGTACACGTTGGTGTCAATCTTCTTCTCAGCCAGCATGCGAACCACGTCCTCCTGAACCGCCTTTAGCACCTTAGCCGCCTCTGCTGAGAGCGGCCTTAAGTTCGCAGGTGGATCTTTCCCTGGATCGCCCGACTTCGGTTTCGATCCTGAGGAGGACGAAGGCCGTGAAGATGATGAGTTACGGTTCATAGCACGGGACGAACACCATATCAGTAGCTGGCGTGCACGTTGGGCTTCGGGGAGGTCGGCATCGATGTGCTTGTAAAAGCTAGAATCTGACACGGACGCATGGGGTTGAGCTATGTCATATTAAATGACTATGTAAGACTGCCCAGCGTAATAACATGCAGATGAAGAGATACGAACTAATGACACCGGAGGTTTCATAGGTAGTGCTCACGCGTTTCCCTCGCATACTCAGTGAACTCTTGCGGCGGCCATGTTGCTGGGTATCTCCGTTTCTGGTGAGAGCGCGTCCCTGGCGAGTCTGCTCGACGTTCCGCGAAGAGGGAGGGGGTTGCTTAGCGGAAGCAGCGACGGCGGGAAAGTTAAAGTCGGGATTGACGTGATCAGCGTTGGCACGCGATCGTCGTCGCAAATGTTCAGCCTCATCGTTCATCAACCGGACATCCTCGTCGACTTCGGGGTCGGGACGAGATGTCGCGACCAGATCGCGATCTTTTGCCTTCCCCACTGGGCGGTGTCCCGTCGCTGGGCGTGAGTCGGACCTGAACTTCTTCGACGCGGGTTGGGAGGGACCGGGTGTGGCGGAGGGGTGGCGGCGCGGTTCAGTAGATGGTGGTCGGACTGGATGTTGATCGGGAGGTTGAGTGGATGGAGGACGCGACGGCGGTGCGCGTACAATGACCAGACCACCGGGCTGCTCTTCGCCATTGAGCACTGTCGCGTTCCCTCGTTATCGGACGCGTAGAGATGGGTGGAACGCGACTTACATTTCCGTTTCGCTGCGGCGCCTGGTTTCACGGACGACTGTACCGCAGCATAAACTCAATGGTCAGCCCACAGCCCCGTCCCAACACGTCAACCACGTACCTCTTTCTTCAGCCTCTTGGACGCGTTCGCGAGCGGGTTAGCATCGTCGGGCATCTTCCGTTTTGAGGTCGGCTCCGAGGGTATCATAGGTCCCGTAATTGTCGTAATGTATGACCGCACCCAGTTCATATATGCCTATCCAGCGACCCGCGAACGCGACCGGACTGTTGTACGCGCTGGACACCGTCGGGACCGGGGCGGACGTCGTCGGCGATGATGGCGGCAGAAACGAACTGCTGAAAGCGGAGTTCCAATGTGTTTTCCCACCCTTGGCCAGTCAACAACGAGTGTGACGAGTGACGCCTGGTGTGACCTTTCGTTCCTCTCAGCGCGCACGACTTGCCTGCACTCAGCACTGTAAGGACGCTCATATCCGCTAGACGAGCACAGCGTTACAAACAACCCAGGCATGTAGCGGCGGCACTGGCATCTGCTGGTGACCGTTCCAAAAATCAGGGACTGGACGTTGAAAATCTCCAGAATTACGCGTCTATATGGCCAATGCCACACGTGTACCCGGGTATGTCCTGGAAGTGCGCTGCTATCATCGTCACTGTCGTCTATCAAAGCAGAGGGGAGAGTCTCAATGCTATATGCTGTTAGAACCCTAAGCTCCAGCGGCGAAGCTAAGGTCAGCCCAGACGTCTATCTTTTCTGGGGCCTTTCGATGCGCATATGATGTGCCGCTATGGCCATAGGCAACCGCCTGGACACGCCCTATTACCTCTTGCGTGATTAACACTCGAGGTTCTCCTGGCCAACTGTTGCTGGATGCACTGTGATGGACAGCAGTCTCCTCGAGACTCGGAAGCTCCAGTACTCATGACGGTCCAGGGGACTCTGACGCCGACCTGTAGCTGTCCCGCAAGCCCTTCGCTAACCAATATTCACGGTCTTGAAAATCTGTGCGCGCATTGCGCAGTCCTTCAAGAAGTGGCTACTCGGCAGACTTTCCGCCCGGCAGCTTGCTCGATGAGGACTCTGCAAAGCTAATCCTTCTCTTCTTATATTCGCGAGCAATGTTCAGGGTCACAGGTCCACGATTGCCGGCTATTGAAGAGGATGCGATTCGCTGAGATCACTGCCAGGACACGAATCTTGTCACCGTCTGTGGGGTCTGCTTTTCTAAGGCTGATAATGATTCCAGCTGTGAACTTCAAGGCGTCTCATGAGCTCCGCTGATTTCTCCGTAGCTGTACGCGCTCGGATCGGCCAACCAAGACGAGGTCGCACAATACGGACCCGCTGCCTCGTATGACCTACGGTCGACTCTGTGAATCCATGATAGCGTCAGGGGAGCGATATCTGTGGCGACGATAAGAACGCATTCAGGCACACTCCGATCTATGCAATGGCTACCTACTGCAGACGACTAGCGACCACGGACAGATGAAACCACGAAAGAAACGTAGTTTCCGCCATGAACAGGCTTCGTAGCGTGTTTGTCTGCTCCCCCCTCATCGCGGAACTTGCTATTGCATCTCAAACTCAGGCTGTCGGGTCGCTCAATTCGTATAATAAGACAAAACATAGGGACTGTCGTATCGGGACTACGCGTAACCTGGACGACGTCTACGATGCTGGTGCGTGTCGGACCTTGCCTTCTCTCCGATTATCTTGGGTTATTCCTGGTAATTGTGGACTGCCCGCCCTTCTGCTCTTCAAGCGTGACTCGTGATCATGTTTCCAGCTCCTCGTTCCTTGTTTCGCATGCTCCTGATTTGTTTACGACGGGCCTCTTGGGTAAACCTCGGCTTTGGACATCTGACCCGTTCTCCGCCATCTGTGTGCGAAGCGTTGGCTATTCTTGCACTCGTATTACTCGCTCTCTAAGATCGCGGAGGTCAAGGTCTGCTGTTCCTTCATCTGGTTCCGCCGAATGTGGCTTCCCCCACCCCGCCTTTAGGGAAAGTATGACATAACCTGGTTCTGCCGCGAGTCAACAGGCTATGCTGTGTCTCTATACTCTTTTTGCCTTGACGGAACGCGTCACTCATACGCCGGCTGTTTAGCAATCGCTCCGTCGTTCTCTTGTCCTTTGTCAGGATCTTCGATTGGTCCGGTGATTTTAGGTCGTTCCCTGTTCATCCTTTGTCAAAAATTCTGCAACCGAACCTATCCGTCCCTCAGGATGCCGGGTTGTGTTGTGGACATCTTTCGAACGACAGCTTCGATTTTCCTCCTTGCGGAATAGGTATCCATATCTGATTGCCATCGTGGTTTCAGTATGTTCAGTTTGCTCCTCAAATGGCTCCTGTCTCTCTCGATTCGCGCTACCATATCCCTGTCTGTTCATCCATCCGACATACCATGCTCGTGATCATGGATCCTCGCCTCCAGCGATGTTGTGCGCCGTATCCTCTAGCCACTGCTGGAAACGCCATCTTGACGCCACAGGTGGCGGAGCCGATTGCCTTCCTTTTCAGGCGCATTCCCACAGTCATGTCTCGACCGACTCTGCGTTTGGCCAAAAGTTCTAACCGTTTCCCCGCCACGCTCTTTGCTTAGACTAGTCCTCGGTCATTACTCATCTTCCGTCCATCGGTTTCACCTCCTATATATTCCCCACCATTCTCTTCCGCGACATCCTTTCCGGTCCTGATCGTCACTCAGACATCCAGCGGATCCAAAATCACAGAATGGCTGACTATTTGTTGCCGAACCATTTCCTGTCCTTGCCCCGTCCAGACGCGCACATAGGGTCACCAGAAGGTGTCCCTGATACCTCCACGCTCGCCGCAGCCGACTTCGATGTCGACAACAGAACTGGTTTCATGCCTCCTCAACCCCCCTTGACGCGGTTGCCAAGCGAGTGGGAGACATGGGAGGAGGTTCTGGAGGACGCGGTGGAAAAACGCATCAAGCTTGGGAGCCGTGACGATCTAACTGACAAGGACAAGGAAATATCAGAAGGGTGGCGGGAGACAGTCCGGAAGGTAAGCCGAATTCTTCAGGCCTCTGTCGAAAGAAATTCAATAACAGTGCCTACTCAGATGCCTGTCCTCTCCACCGACGGCTTATTCAAATCCGAGTTCCTTTTGCGGAGGGCTCATCATGTTCTATCATACATGATGCATTTCTACATCCACTCTCAGCCCCCCACTTGTTCCGAGATTCATATCCCCCGGTCATTGACGCTACCTCTTTTGCGCGTCTCCGCACAGCTACAGCTGCCCCCAGTCGTCACTTACTCAGACGACGTCCTGTACAATTGGCGTTATAAAGAACCCGCTACCCTTGACGACCCCTATCGCATTCCTACCATCGACAATATCAAGTGCGATAATACGCTATTCACAGGCACTAATGACGAGCAAGAGTTCTACCTAGCTTCTGCAAGGGTAGAGCTACGTGGTGTCGAAGCACTAGAGTTGATGCGGTTGACCATGGACGAAGCCTTCGTTGGCGACGCCATCGCGTTCCGTCGTATCACGGCATACCTGCACGCGATGGCCGAGGTCATTCGAGGCATGACCCAACAGTTGCTTCGGGTGCGGGAAGGGTGCGACCCCGCTGTCTTCTACAACGAAATTCGACCTTGGTTCAAGGGTGCGGACTCGGGGCAGAAGAAGTGGATCTTCGACGGTTTGGACGAGGACCCTACCCTCCTGGATCCCGAAGAGCTCTCTGGTCCTAGTGCTGGGCAGAGCTCCATGATCCATGCTCTCGACGTCTTCTTCGGCGTCGATCAATACTCCCATTCTCTAACGCTGTCCGGCTCCTTCTCCAGTACCTCAGCAGAGTCCAACGCGACCTATCACCCGCCAAACAAGAAATCCTTCCTGGACCGCATGCAGATCTACATGCCGCGTTACCACAGGGCCTTCTTACGCCATCTAGCTGCGAACCCGCGTCCCCTCCGTTCACTTGTCTCGGCGCACGCCGAAGACGCTCCTGAACTATTAGGGGCCTATAACGCTGCCGTTACAGCTCTAAAGGAGTTCAGAGACGCTCATATGAGGATCGTTGCTGTCTACATTATCGGTCCCAGCCGCAAGGTCCCTACTGCCAAGGTCGCTGAGAAGGACGAGGAAAAGGAGATACTCAAGGGCACTGGCGGTACTGACCTCGTGAAGTTCCTGAAGGGCGTCAGAGACCGGACTGCGAGCGCAGTGATGCCGGCAGAGAAGAGGTGACCTCGTTTGATTTATTTTGTTTCTCTTTGCTTCGCGGGATAGATGGGCCGATTTAATGGCATGTAGTATAGCGACAGCTGCGTAGACCTTTGTATTATTTTCCGCAGACCCCTGGAAATATCATGTGCAACATACGATCGTGGTGACTGTAATTAGAACTCGCCGTAACGCCGCGCAGCTTCGTCATCCACATATCTAAAGTCCACTCTATGTCGGCTGCGGGATCCTCTGCTTCCATCGGGAGGTGACTCGTACCGTCGGCACCGTTTTGTTTCTTTAAAACGTTAAGACATCACGCGCGGACGCTCTTACCGCGAATATTCGTCTAAATGTCTTCCGCCGACGAAGACGGCCACGAAAATGAGCAGTTTGCGAAGAAGAGGAGGGTGCAGAGGGCATGCGACGTCTGCAGGCGCAAGAAAAGTATGGGATCTACGCCCTTTCTATAAGCTATCTAACGCTGATTTGTAGTTCGATGTGAGTCCCCGAGATACAGAGGCGGGGTACTGGTCAATAACCTCGGATTTATCTAGGCGACGGAGCACAGGTGTCCGGCAATCGCTGCACCAACTGCGCAACTTACAATATAGAGTGCACGTATGTGGAGGCAGCAAAGGTGCGTTGGTTGTGTCTCTACGTGCGAAGCTACTGACTAACTACCAAACAACGGTAACAGAAACGGGGACCTCCGAAAGGGTACGTCGAGAGTCTGGAGAATAGGTTGGAGAAACTAGAGAAGCTGCTGGGCAAGGTATGTGGCACGAACGAGATGAGGGCTTGTCAGAGTCCCTGCATGCTTGTCTAGATTGCCCCAGAGGCCGACTTGAAGGAGCTAGGCGTCCAGCCCGACCGCGAGAGCTGGTACCGCGACCGCGCGCAAGGCGAGTCCTCCCAATCCATGTTCAAGTCGCAGTCCTCGCCGGTGAGCGCGACGCCGCCGCGTTCGGACGACCTAGACCCGAGTGACGACGAGTACCTGCACACGACGCTCACGGAGAACCTGCGCAAGCTCACCGTCGACCCGAACCACCATCGCTTCTTCGGCAAGTCGAGCGGGATCATGTTCATCCAGACCGCGATCGACTTGAAGAACGAGTACGCGGGGGACGAGAAGCCGAGCATCATAGACGAGTCCTACCTGGGGAGCAAGAGGCCCGAGTTCTGGTCCTCGAACCCTGTAAGTGCTCAATCACTAGCTGAGGGCGGGGTTGAAGAGAGTAGCATGCCTTTCTGATAACGCCTTACGTGGAGCAGTGGGAAGAGAACCGGTTCAGCGAGGTTATTCCTGACTTCGACTTCCCGCCACCGGACCTCATCGACTCTCTCGTCTCCCTGTACTTCCTCAACATTAACAACTTCTACCCACTCCTGCATCAGCCCACCTTCCTCCAGAAGATCGCCGAGGGCCTGCATTTCCGCGACTCTGACTTTGGCAGCGTCTTGTTGGCAGTATGTGCGTGCGGGAGTAGGTGGTCGGACGATCCGAGGGTGTTGATGGAAGGCACGCAGAGCCAGCACTCGGCGGGATGGAAGTGGTTCAACCAGGTACAGATGGTCCGTAAGAGCTTGCTGGCACCTCCGTGCCTGTATGATTTACAGCTGTACACCGTGAGTCGTCGAAGCAGTATCTGGGATTTCCGCTGGATATTCACCCATCGGGTGCAGCTCTCAGTTATTTTCTTGCAAGGGTCCTCGGCACCCCAAGGGAGCTGGACGATGGTAGGGATTGGTCTGCGGTTGGCCCAAGACGTAGGTGCACACAGGCGGAAAGTTTATAATCCAAACTTGACTCTTGAAGACGAGCTATGGAAACGGGCTTTCTGGTGGGTTAGTTTCGCGACTCTAAATGACAGCTGCGAGTAATCTGAAACGTGTATCAGGATACTGGTCACGCTTGATCGAATATTCAGTTCGGCGTTGGGTCGGCCCTGTGCCATCCAGGAGGAAGAGTAAGCCTTCAATCCCATTGCGTTCCGAGGAATCCAGATCGTCACTTTCTGTTCAAACAGTTTCGATCTCGATATGCCAGCTGAATGTGACGACGAGTACTGGGTCGACCCAGATCCGAATAAGGCGTTCAAGCAGCCTCCGGATAAGCCATCTAAGGTGGCATACTTTAACAGCTATCTCAAGCTGAATCAGATCCTCGCATGCGCTCTACGAACTATTGTGAGCATCCCCCCCCTGTATACGCTTCGCTTCTGTTTCATCACATTACTCCACCCTTTCTAGTATTCCATCAATAAGTCAAAGATGCTACTGGGCTTCGTAGGACAGCAATGGGAGCAACACATCGTGGCGGAGCTGGACTCGGCTCTGAATAAGTGGATTGACTCCGTGCCGGACCATCGTTCGTGTTTACACTCGTGGATCCGCTGCATTCTGATATTGACGGATATTTGTCTAGTTCGATGGGATCCAGACCGGGAAGACGAAGTGTTTTTCCAGCAGTCGGCGATGCTCTATTGCAGTTACTACCACCTCCAGATCTTGGTTCATAGGCCATTCATCCCCCTCCCACGCAAGCCATCACCCTTGTCTTTCCCTTCTCTTGCGATCTGCACCAATGCGGCGCGGTCCATGAGTCATGTGGTGGATATACTGCGCAAACGATCGAAGCAACCGCTTCCTCAGCTATTAGTTCGTGCGCTATCTAATGGTCCAGAATCTGATAGGCTCACGCAAGGCAAACGTTAGATGCCCGTGTTCAGTGCAGGCCTGGTGCTGCTATTGAATATCTGGGGAGGCAAGCGGTCCGGCCTATCCACCGATCCGGCGAAGGAAATGGCCGAGGTGCACAAGTGCATGCATGTCCTGAAAGCATGTGAACCAAGGTGGGGACATCATCTGCCCTCGCTGGCGTGCTGTGGTTCTCATTGCTCTCCTAGGTGGCATTCCGCAGGGCGGCTATGGTAAGTCCGGACGGTGCACTCGAAGACTCGCCTAACCGCTCATATCAGGGATATTTTGTGCGACCTGGCTTCCGTGGGCGACTTGCCGCTGCCGCAGCCCAGCCCAGCCCCGGGCGGGAAGCGCGAGAGGGATTCTGACGAGCCAATCGGGCATACCGAGTCGCGCTCCCCGAGTTACTCTGGGGACGTCGAGGCCCCGGGCCTGAGCGATGGGCAGCGCACTATGGCCGGCACGCGGCGTGTCTCCAAAGAGCAGTCCGCCGTTTCGCCCACAGTGCCCCCATCGGCTTCGACCTCGACGTATGCGTCACCGCAAAGCCAGATTATGTCGAATAGCGTGTTCACGCTCCCGATACACAGCGACGAGCTGGGCCGGCTGCCTCTTCATCCGAATTTCGGCGTCCCGGGCCAGGCTGCGGCGCTGCCCGTCCAGGCCCCGTCATCGTCTAGTGCGGGTGTGTGGTACGGCGGTGACGGCTCGATTCCTCGGCAGGCTGGTAGTTCCATGGCGCAGATGGCGGCGCCGGGCTCCATGGACACCATGTCATCGATGTTGGGGATGAGCGAGATTATGTTCGACTCACCCATGTCGGGCTACAGCCCGTTCGTGCAGGGCGAGCCTCCACAGCCTCCGTACCCTGGGATGCAGTTCACGGAGCTGGGCACGGGTATGGCGCCGCAACAGCAACAGCAGCCACAGATGTTCATGAACGATGACACGATCAATATGTGGTCAAACGCGCCCACTGGGTTCGAGTAAGTGTCGTCCCCTTCCGTCCCTCCGGGTCTGTAGGATGCTGACCTGGGTTGAATAGGATGGACGACTGGGGCACGTACATTAGTAACGTCTGTGGCCTTTCTCATCATCTTCCGGGCGGCCCTGGTGCACCGCCTAGAACGGACGGCGGATAGATGAGTTGTAGAGATGTCAGTCTGGACTTTGCAATTCCACTGCCACCACTCTCTGTAGCTATAGCCTATCGTTCTTCCACTGTTAGACTCACCTCTTCCTCTCGGTTGTCCTCGTCTATATTTGTACCTCGTGTAGCTCAAGCTCCAGCTCCTCCTCCATATTTATTACTGTCGGGTTCTTTGCGGAGTTCACCCTACTCGAAGCCTAGAAGGTTGAAGCCAGGTAGTAGTCTACAGCCGCTTGCAGATCGATAGACCATCAATTCAGAAAACCACGTATAGTCGGAGTGGGTCGGAGTGGGTGCCAGGGACGTCGGAAGAAGGTAGAGAAGTCCAGATGGTCTGATTTCTGTCTCTCGGGGACTTGAAATTGCTTGTCCGACGTGGTCCGACTGTAAATGATTCTCAAAAAGTGGGCCCATCGATCTGCAAATGGCTGTAAGAGCTAGTCGGAACTGGATCCTGCATTCAGGATTTCGACTAATCTGTTTCGAAATTGTGGCAATTCCCCGGACCCTACGCAATTGCAAAATCAGCGCCCTCTGCCGCCGGTCCGGAGCACGTCTTCTTCGATCGTGGACTGGACGGACCGAGATCTCCGCCCACAAGTTATCACCCGCAACGATCGCATCCAAGTTTCCTGCCATTCCGCTTTCCAACCTTTACTTGACGTCTGCCACATACTACGAATATAACTTACGCAATGGCAGCGTCGCTGCCAATCCCCGTTTTTAATACCCTCGAAGAAGCGTATTCCAGTCTTGGAAGCGCACTTGACCATGCGTATGTTCTCCGTCCGTGCGTTTGAGCAGCTAAGAATAATCAGCCCATATCCCATCTGTATCTCCGAAACAGGCCTCGCTGGGATAACCTAGCGGTGGAATTCGAGTCGCGTTTTGGCAGAAAACCTGCTTTCATCGCCCGAGCCCCTGGAAGAGTAAAGTAAGCTTCTGCTTGTTATACACAGTGCGTTATAACTGACGATGGACTTCAGTCTGATCGGAGAGCACATCGATTATGCATTATTCGGTGTACTCCCCGCCGCAGTTGAACGTGACATCCTCATCGCATGCGCGCCGCGCTCTACGACTGAGCAAGGTATGTGACCTGCTTCTAGTCATGACATCTTAGCATCTAAATACCATGCTGCACTCAGGTGCTGTGCGAGCTGAGAACCTCGCAGGATCCAAGTATCCCCCGAGGCATTTTGCGCCGTCTTTCAAGAATAGCGCCTGGCACCTCGACATTGACAAGACGCAGCTCAATTGGGAGAGCTACGTCAAGGCAGGTTACTATGTATGTATGTCCCTAGATTGTTATCACGACATTCTATAACGTCTGAGCTACCAGGGTGTCCTGAATACATTCTTTGCATCGGGCGAGGAACAGCCCGTACCGGTCGACATCCTTGTCACTGGTTCCGTCCCAGCTGGATCGGGCCTGTCATCCTCCGCGGCCATGGTCGTCGCCTCCACACTCACCTTCCTGGCCGTGAATAACAAGCTTACGGGGGTGAGCAAGGGCCGGCTCGTCGAACTGGCTATGGAAAACGAGAAACGCGTTGGCGTCAACTCGGGCGGGTAAGCGCCAATAGCACCATCTCTGCCTCTTTCCCAATTATGAATGATTGCGCCCTCAGAATGGATCAAGCCGCCTCCGTGATCTCCCTTCCGAACTCCGCCCTCTACATCACCTTCTTCCCCACACTTTCTGCCGAGCCGATCCCGCTCCCCTCGGGTTCCTCTCCCGCAGTCCCAACCGAATCCACCACGACCACGGCTCCTTCCTTAACCACATCTACCGCACAGCCCCACCAGGCGTCAACAGATCCGCACAACACCAGCCTAGCTGTCGAAGTCCCAGCGGCCAGCGCGGGCGGCGTGTTCGTCTGCGCCAACTCGCTCGTCGTCTCCGACAAAGTTGTCGGGGCACGAACGCGATACAACCTCCGCGTCGTCGAGACGCTCGTCGCCGCTCGCGTTCTGTGCCGCATCCTCGGGCTACCCCTCGACGAGGACATCAGCGGCAAGCGGGAGCGTGTGACGCTCCGCGAGGTGGTCGGGCGCTACCTTGGCGTGAAAGAAACCAAAGGCGGCGAGCCCCTGCTGTCCACCGCGCAGCTACACAAAGGACTCTCCGAGCTCGGCGTGCTCAGCGGGCGGCTGCGCCCGGGATGCTGGAAAGCCGACGCGGGCGAGAACACGGTCCTGGCACAGGGCGCGGAGCTCGGCGTGTCTATGGAGGAGATGGTGGAGATGAGCGGGCTGGAAAAAGATGAGTTCCACGAGACCTACCTTAGCTGGGTCGACGTCGAGGCACCAAACGGCCGCTTCCAGCTGTACAAGCGCGCGGCACATGTGTTTTCGGAGGCCTTGAGGGTGTTGCAGTTCAGGCAGGCGTGCTTGCAGGGACGGGAGCTGATTGGTAAATAATCACTGTGGCCTCAGGACCTTGGTTATGTTTACTGATGTGTGACACAGATAATAAGCCAAACGCACCCGTAGGCGAAAACGCTACCAAGGCCATACTTGAGGTAGGCTAATGTAGGATTTGTTTCGTAAACATGCTGAGCTCGCCTGTAGGTCCTCGGCGCGCTCATGAATGAGTCTATGGAGTCGTGCTCGAAGCTCTACGAATGCTCCTGCCCCGAACTTGACCAGCTGACGACGATATGCAGAGAGGCCGGGGCCTACGGTTCCCGACTCACAGGTATGTTGTACGAGCACCCCTCTTGGGAATTACTTCTTATGCAACTCCGTTCAGGTGCCGGCTGGGGGGGCTGCACGGTCTCTCTTGTTGCGGAGTCGCAGGTACAAGATTTCATCGCAAGGGTGAAAGCCGCGTATCCGCCGTACAAGAACCTCGAAGGCGAGCAACTGAAGGAAGTCATCTTCGCCACGAAACCAAGCAGCGGAGCTTTTGGTGAGTGGTTTTATTGTCTGCCAACCCCACTACGCTGATTAATGGGCTGCAGTATATAAATTTGATTAAAATGATGTTAAGTGAAGCATGTCCGAAGTATGTACAAGAATGTACTGCGTACTCGATGATAAAACTATGCTTCCCCCCATTGGTCCGCAGTACTGCCTGCATTACTCCCTCAGCCCTGCGTATCCAAGCAACTGACCGTGGATTCCGCATCAACATGTTCTGCGAGCCAATGACTGCAGCTGACTTGTGTATCATTGATTCGGGGCTCAAGTCACTGACAAAAATGCTGCGGCCAATCGGGTCGTCAAATATTACAAACCTTCTTTAAGAGGAGGACTGGTGAATCCGACATTCACAAGGTTCACTCTGGTAGAATCCTTCTGGTCGGATCCGCTCGTCCAGACCTCCCTGATGATATGTCCTGATTTCAGTCCGTGCCACTTCATAGATGTCGACGGACTTTCCACCTTCATAGGCTTCAAGTCAACGGAGCGGAGGCATGAGTGCGGTCTGTCCACGAAGGATGATTCTCCGGTGCGCGACTGGATAATGTCCTCGACATTGGAAATGGAAGGGTATGCCTCCGAAGAAAATCGGAGGGACAAGAACAGTTCATTCAGGCAAGGGTAACAAGCCAGAGGGCGCCCCATGGAGGTTACGGGTTTAGACTGCAAACACTAGGTTTGACACAAATGCACCTTCGGGCGCGTCAATTTCGACATTTCTCAAAAGACCGGGCAGGGGACTGGCTAAATACGCCGAGGGGGGACGGGGGGGAGGGGAGGGCTCACTGGATGCATATAACCGGAAGCACACCTATGTTTTGGCAGAAGTATTTCGGGTATGGACACTCGTATACACATACTTACACGGTATAAGGCCGCAGGGCCGCGCTCGTGCGCAGCAGAACCCGCTACCTTTGACTTGAACTGTGTGTAGACAGCAGCTTCGAATGGGGCTCCTCATGGCCTCCTGCAATGTATTGATAATTTCATAGACCTATGGTCCAGGACATGTATCACCACAAGTCTCAGAAATTTATATCAGAACTGAACAAGGCAGTCATGTTCTTCGAGCTCCAACTCTCCGGTGTCAACCACTCCTTATGAATCGAATGTCCTGCCACTTCTATGCATCCCTCTTGTCTGAGTTCCTCTGCCTGTCACTACTGTGTCAGTGCCAACCCGCATTCAATACCATTCACCCTCTGTTTCCTTTTGCGATATGTTTTGATGTCATCATTCCCTTATTTGGGACTTTAGGGCAGGTTTCTCCCGATCTTGCAGATCTACTATGTAAGTTGTCCACATCAAGGACGCCAAAACCCACTACCAAAGGTAGCGGGAATATGCAGAGGGGCAAAGAATGCCCAAGTCAGGTTTTCTGCCAGTGGGTCTCCCCACTTGTTTCTTGTTTCCTCGTGAAAAACAAAATTGGGCTCTAACATAGCTTCACATTTAATTTCAATATATTAGAGTACTAGTGCTACAGGTTGTCTCATCACCAATTTCGAGCAGAAACGTGCTGTAAACTCGAGGCCCAAGGCGTCCCTAACATTTCATCGGGAATTTCCGAGGCGACTCTCGCGATTGAAACTGCGCTCAATAGAGGCAACCACAAAGAATTATCATTGTCCGGTGGGGGGCATGTAGAATGATGTTCTCCGCAGAACAAAGGGGCTCTTGGCACATTGTAGGAACATGTTCTCCCACCAACTAATGTCCCTCGGCGGGACATCTGTCGTTGCCCGCAGTGAATAGCCATCAGCAGCGCTGTATTAGTAACCAAGGAGTTCTGCTGAATAATCTCCGAATGCCGAAATACCTGGAATTTATGAAGACGTTCGAGTGATTAGCAATGCTACACTGGACGCACTTATAATGTGGCAAGTTCTACCAGTGGAAACTGAATCGGGACGATACCTAGATTTGCATTTGCCTCTGGTCGCTCTGCAATGGGTGGCACGACGAATATATTCTTGACTGGCTCAACTGGTACGGTGACGGCGGACGCAGTAATATGCACGGTACTTACGTATCATTTGCAGGTTACATCGGGGGAACCGTCCTGCAGCGGTTGCTCGCTCACCCTGAAAGAGAATCGTTCAATATCAGCGTGTTAGTTCGCAACGCCGAGAAAGCGAAGCTGCTTGAAAACTTCGGCGTGACTACGGTCGTCGGATCGCACTCCGACTTAGAAAAGTTGGAACAAGCCGCCGCTTCCGCTGACGTGGTCTTCGCGATCGTATGTTCAAGTACAAAGAGCAGTATTGTGGCGTACCTTACAATTCCGTCAGGCCGATTGCGATGATTTAAAAGCTGCAACTGCTATCCTTTCAGGTCTCAAAAAGAGGCACGCCGAGACGGGGGAGCAGCCTATTCTGATCCACACCGTAAGTCATCTTCGCTTATCGCACGAGCTCCTAAGCTGATTTCGAAGGTCTAGTCAGGCACAGGTATTGTCTTTCATAAAGAGCATGTCTTACGGTACTTACCGTTGAGTACTTTGCAGGTGTCCTAGCCGACAACGCGCAGGGAAAATATGCCAGCGACCTTGTCTACTCCGACCTTGATATTCCATTGATTGAAACGCTGAAGCCTACGCAGCCCCACAGGTGGGTTGACATCGCCATCGTGGAAGCTGGGAAACAAGGTAGGTTTTCCATTCCAAGTCCGCTGCGCATTATCTCAGCGCCAGTGATTAGGATATGCTCGAACCCATATCGTACTGCCGGGTGTGATCTTCGGACTAGGACATGGCCCCCTGTTCGAGACTGGTATCTGCAATCAACATTCCATGGAGCTGCCCACCATATTGCAAATCGGTTGGCATAGAGGTCGAGCTGGAATCATCGGCGAGGGCAGGAATATATGGCCCCTTTCCCACATTGACGACAGTGCGTCACTTACAGCTTCCGTAACGCAGCCCAGTCTTGACTCACTTCATGCAGCGGCCGACCTGTATATTGTTCTATTCGACGCAGCCAGAAAGAGAAAGGACGTGGCATGTGGGCGCGAGGGCTTCTATTTCGTTGAAAACGGCCATTTCTCGGTGTACGAAGCAACCAAAGCCGTAGGTCACGTCCTCGTTGAATTAGGTCGTGCGAAGACAGCAGAACCTACGCCTTTCACGCCGGAGGAGTTGGATAAATATTTCGCTGGTGTACGTCTTTGGTTCCACATTAGACTGAAACCGGCGTTGACGAGGTGCAGGTCCTATTCATGGGCACAAACTCTGTCTGCAAAGCCGAACGGTCCCGCGCGCTTGGGTGGCGGCCGACGAAGACGAAGCAGGATATGCTTGAGAGCATCCGGCCCGAAGCAGATGCCTTAATAAAGAATGGGCGGATTGAAGATGCATTCCACATCAGGGGTCTGCTTGCCCAATACGTCGACCTATGAAGCTCACAGTTCTCTAACAATGGGAGTTGCACGAGCCTCGTATCGACCCTGTTGTCGTAGTAGTACGTTAAATGATCCTGTACAATACGAATCGCTGATTGAATACTGCATTACTCACCTTTTACGCGACATCGATGGCGCGTGAACAGAGCCACTGAGCTCATTGGGAATGATGGGATAGGCAAGGACAGCCCCCGGTCGACAGCAACCGAGACCGCAAAAGGGGAAGTTACCAGTACACGTCGGGTTTTTGCATAATTATATCCAGGAAGCTTTCGTGTTCTAGGAGATGGGCGCAAAGCCCTCGAAGCCGCGATATGCTTCAGGTCTACCTTGTGCTGTGATGGTGATCATTCCTTTAAAGGGTTCCCACCGGCCGAGGTGATTGACCCCGTGATGGGATCTATTACCAGCTCAGTGTCGCTCGTGCGGCCTCAGCACAACCTCTTGGCTACTAGTGTCAATATCGAGAGCAGTCAGCGCCGGCTCAGCATCGATATTCGACGTATCTTAAACGCATGTAAAGCAGATCCCTTTGAGTCATGTCTGCGCCGTGTACGAGCTCATCTACGCGAGCCCTGGAGCGTTCTGGTGTTCCGTTGGTCCCTGGATGATACCGTATGTCAGCGATTGTGAGAATGAATGACAAGTATCAACGAAGTAGGTGGTGTTGGCCTGAATGTGGTGCGACATCGCGACAAGCAGGGTATCAAGCGTACACATCAGGCTTGGGAAGGGTGCCTCTGCTAGATCATCAAGGAGACACTCGTAGGCATCTCGTCAGAGTTTTCGTCAGTAAGTGGCAGCGTTTGAGGTCGAGCGAAACAGTCGAACCAATGAGTCGAATTAGCTCCGGAGGGTGTGAAATATTACTGAAATCTACTACCTTGGAATGGACCGATAAGCGTTCCTTTTGGTATAATCAAAATCTAGAAAATGAAATAAAGGGTGAATGTACGGCTTAAAAGCCTCAGTAGCTGAAGGTATAAACGACAGATTAACAATGCCGCTTACGATTGCCTTTCGATGTATAGAGATGGCACTCGCCCGCTCACGTGTAGCTTGTAGGCTACCAGGGGGGTACCGTATTGGAACGGCCACTCGCTCACTCAGAGCGAAAGTCGTTCAATATCAGCGTCCTCGTCCGCAATGCTGAAAAAGCGAAACTGCTCGAAGAGTTCGGCGTGGGGACGGATCGTATTCGGACCTCGATAAGTTGGAAGATGCTGCATCTACCGCGGATGTGGTCTTCGCAATTGTGAGTGATCACTCGCGACAGCCCTGTGCTCAATATTAATAACGTACGTTGCACCCGCATTGCCAGGCTGACACGAGCAATCTCGCGGCTGCCGAGGCAAATCAGGCAGGCCCGAAGAAGAGGTACTTTAAGACGGGCAAGTGAATGTAATTGTTTGATGAATTCAAACGGTAATGCTTTGGCGGCTGCGCGGTAGTGGGGGACAGGTACAGTTATTTGGTAGAGAGGAGCACTTCTTAGACTCACCGAGGAGCCTTCCGCAGGTCTTCTAGCCGATAACGCACAGGGTAACTTCGCCAGCGACTTCGTCTACTCTAATCTCGATGTTCCGAACATCTTGAAGCGTACGCAGGCCCGCAGGTGGGTGGGCGGCGTTGTCGCAGAAGCTGGAAAAGAAGGTTCCTCGCGAGGCCAGACGTTTTGTATATCGTCTTAACGTCGACTGTTAGGATACGTTCGCACCCATATTGTACTGCCATGCCTGATCTTCGGGCTCGGGCATGGCCCTCTGTTCGAGAGACATGCGCATCCGGCATTCGATGGAGATACCGTCCTCGCTTCAGATTGCGTGGTACAGGCACCAGAGCGGGACGATAGGGCAGGGAAAGAATGTATGGTCACTGATCCATGTAGACGACAATGAGTGATGTACCACAGCATATCTGTGGATCATGTTCTTAGCACCCTGACTAGCCGCGGACTTGTACACTGCCCTTTCTGAGGCGGCCAGGAAAGACGCGAACGTAGTGCACGGCCCTGAGAGTTTCTATTTCATCGAGAATGGCATCTTCCTACGGTATGAAGCCGCTAAAGCTGTCGGCGAAGCCTTGGTCGTGTTAAGTCGTGCCGAGAGTGCAGAGCCTACACCTTTTACAGCAGAGGAGATAATAAATTACTTCTCTGGGGTACGGTTTGTTACTGCAAGTTATCCCGATAGACAATTGTTAGGAGACCAGATCGGAGTACCGGGTACAAACTTGGTTTGCAGGGCTGAACGTTAGCGTGCACTTGAATGGCAACCGACGAAGACGAAGAAGGACGTGCTTTATGGCGTCAAATATGAGGCCGAAGTCCTGGTCAAGAGCGGATGGGTCGAAGACGCATTCCACATGAGGAACATATTGGCTGGGTACTTGAAAAGCTTGGGACTTTGAGGCTCGAATATGGCTGTATCCGAAATGGACGGTGGCGAGCGGTAGCTTTTCTGGGGAACTCATGGTAATCATGTTAGACCGTGTCTGAAAGGCTGATCGTGAAATGCAGTCTATCTACACTTGGGTGCACAACCCATCATGTTCGGTGTTTACTGACCCCAATAGTTCTCCCGAGCAGACACGTATCGACGCTGGTCCTAGTAATACGCTTGGGCTGCCAGTGACCGGGTCGCCGCCATCTTTCATTATCCCTGGGAGCGCTGGAAGCCTAGGTATAGAGTGAGCTACGCCGGAGCGAACGTGTCCTCGGATACCAAGAAAGAATCTTGATTCCAGTGATTCAGAAAGGCATAAGACGACTGATAGAATGTCGCCCGGGCCCGCGTAAGGTCGTCAGAAACCACAAGGGAACCCATGGGCAAAAGTTTGTAAGTCACCCGTAGCTCCAATGCCAAACTATGCAAATCGTGCACTGGAGACAGTACTTGACCAAAGGAGACGAGCTGACCCAAAGCCGAGTTGTCGCATACAATGTCCATGTGCCGTGGCAATCGACCTCGAAGAGATGCCACAGCTTACTCTCAACCATCACCAACTTCACTACGTATGAGACCGGGCTTTCCTCCACCACAGTGATGCATCGCAGAGCAACGTATCGTCGACGTTGCAACAGCGCAGAGACCGAGTGAAGGAGGAATCGATACAGGAACATGAGTGTACAGGTGCGATGTTTGTACATATTTGCTGATGTGGCTAGAAAGTTGAGAACTACATCAGGAAACCGGAATATCTCCGGATGGAGACAGCGTCTCCGCGGCTCCGCCATGTGCGGGATGGAGACAGGTTCTCCAGACGGAGACGAGGTCTCCATCCGGAGACATGCTCCCCACTAATATACAGTAATATGTGCTAAATTTTGCTCGAATGCAAAGAGGAGCACGTATAGCAAAAACATAAGCCCATATCCTGTCCCTATGTGAGGGATAGATATCGGGTGTCAGGTATACGAACTCCCGCCGAAGCCACGTGGTGTCTCCAGGAGTCTCCATCTGGAGACGCTTTCTCCGTCCTGAGCCGGACGGAGATGGCCGTCTCGGGATGATGGGGGGACCTCTCCGTCGCTCCGGGGCTCCGTGTGGCTCCATATGGAGCATATGGAGATTTCCGAGGTTCCTGATGTACAGTAATATGAGCCGTCAAGGGTCCGCGATTCCAAGCAAACGGAGCTATGTTATGTGCAGTGGGAGCTCTTTAATTACCTAGGCAATTGGACAGAGACCCTTTACCTGACAAACGTCGAGGCTGGATCTGCAGCTCGGCAGGACAGGACTGAATGCCGAGGCAATGTTTTGGTAAGTTTCGCGCCCATGTCCTCCCATAAGTGTGACTGTAACACTGATCGTGCGCAAACAGTCTTCCCTTAGCATTTTAGTGCAACGGAAGTCGGTTCACCTACAGGTCCGTATGATATTGCGAAGCCTCACGTCGATGCTGGTTACCAGATTCGGATACGCCAACATCCCGCGGTAAAGTCTGGGGGCGACCGGTGAACGCTCGAAGTATCTATAGGAAATTGAAGTCATGAACGAAGTCGCCCGGATGGTCGCGAAAATCATGAAATTGTAGTGGTAGGCACGGGATATAGGATGCATGGTGGGGTACTTCTGGAAGCATACTTAGAAAAGTACCGCGCCCGCACGAACAAATGGAGGCAGGCCTCGTAAGGAGCGTTTAGACATGATTTGCAGATACGTGGAAGCCTGAATTAGTTCAGTTATCAGGCGGCTCTATCTTACACCGCTCATCTGAGTCCCCTGCGAACGTGAGTCTCGGCGAGAGCAACGGTATCAATACGCAGTCGCAACGAGGAGTAAGGCCTCTAGTACGAGCCACGCATCATCTGATCCGCATCTTGTCCAGGGTATAACGTGAATGGCCCATCTACGGCCTCTAGTATTGATAATCGGACGCTGGCTGAATAAGATATGAAACGAGACATCTGCTAGTCCTGCTATGGTTGGGGCTTACGAAGACGATCAAAAGATTAGCAATGCTACATTCAACGCACTCATAAAGTG